CCCCAAAACCCCAAAACCCCAAAACCCCAAAACCCCTGCTGTTAAATTCCCTAAAGTTTAAGGCAATTTAATAATGTGAAAATTAATATTTATTCCATTGACTGACTATTCAACTTTTCTACTTTAGCTATTACTATAGTTATTCATTTTTTTCAACAATTGTCTTAACGTACTCTTAGACTTTAGCTTCGCATGCATCTCTTGTTTCAATCTCATCCTCTAATTCTAAAACTCTTTCTTTGATATCTTTGACTGATTACTCTTGGTCCTTAATAGTTAACTAAAATCTGTCAATCTATTACTATTTATTCTCGATTTCATACTACCAATGCTTACGCTCTCTCTCAATCATCTGCTTGTAAACCTAAAGATTATTGTTTTGAATATTATTATTTCTCTTCTTATTCATCTATTTGATATGCTATTCGATTTATTGATAAGCGAAATTTCTAATTTCAGTGTATTTCAGTAGCATTCTTCTATTTTCTAGTTAACTTTCAGCTAATTTCTCCTCCAGGAAATAGCTATAGTTTGTATTCTTATCATCACTTTATTTTTTAATAATTTCCTAGTTCTAATGCTTCAAATCATCAATCTCTTGTTATTTTTCTTCTAACTCCCTAATAAGTTAATCTTCTCTCTGTTTGAGCTGCTCGACTAGTCCCAAGTCTGAAACTTACATATTCTTATCTTCAATTGTAGTCAAATCATTAGCATCCTTCATGTATTCTTTTTAATTGATATCAGGAATCTATGAATTCATGCTTTTATTACCACCACCATAATTGTTGTTCTATTCAATTTCTTGTTCTAGTTCTTTATTTCTGTTATATAGCTTTTTCATAAGTGTCTCAGCTACTAATAACCTTTCTCTTAACTGATCTCTATCTAAATTATCAATATTACTAGTGAGACTTTAGGCTTTGTTGAAGTTAAATTAGGTTGAGTTACTAAAAAAACTAGTTTAGGTGACAGATGGAAGCTACTGTTATTGCAAATTAATAGGGGCAGCTTAATTGCTGAGATTGCTAATATTGTTTTAGTTTGAGTATATAGTCTCATTCTTAGGTTTGATAGGTCCATTTAAACCTAAATTATTTTATTAATTATGAGTAAATGCACTTTAAGTTGAGTAAGAGGTCTGCTAAAAATTGGAAAAATTTGTCTTTCGCATCTGTTAATCTTTGTTGGTGGCATTGATGTTGGAATTTTTCTCACTGAACATTTGCGACTTTAGTTCGTTCAAATCCAAGATTGCTTTCTCAACCTTTATCTCTTTATCGTCATTAATAGTAGCAATCTGGCCATGCTAATGAATTACTTTTTAAGATTGCTGATGATTATGTTTAGCACTAATTGTTCTCTTATTTTGCTTTTGCTGAGTTCCTTTCACTTATGATGTATCCATGAGTGATTTTATCAATTGGAAATTTCTCTCGTTTCCAAAAATTTTCATCAAATCAGCTGCTTAGCTTTTTTCTTGTTAACCTAAATCCTAAATTCATAAAATTGAAGTAAATACCTTCTTTCTTTAATTATTTTAAGCTGACTTTTGCCTATTTTGCATAAACATCTAATTTTAAGATTAGGTTGCAAAAACTTAAAGATCCTATGGAACAACTTTTGATTTAGATTAATCATCTATGAATGTAACTCATTAATATTGTAATTCTTACTGTCGTTCAGCACTATCGCTTTACTCTTAATTCCTTTCATCAATTGAACTCCTGTTCCACTAGCCCTGTTTTAATCACTCTAAAGCCGCCTTGATTTTTATTACCCATTAGCTATGAAATTAGATTGAGTAGCTGCATGAGGTGGCAAATTAGATTATAGACCATATGGACCTCCAAAAGATGTAGTAGTTTGAGAGGTTGGGGCGTTTTAACTGTATTTTGATATTTTCAAGTTTGACATTCTTAAATTTATATTAAAAATAATCAGAATAATCTTTTGCACCTAATATAGGCCAAATTAATAAATGGGGTTTTGGGGTTTTGGGGTTTTGGGG